GAAGGATACCATGATGTTGTATTGTGATAACAAGTCAGCAAGAGATATAGCTAATAATCTGGTACAACATGATAGAACGAAACATGTAGAGGTTGATCGTATTTTATCAAAGAGAAGCTTGAAAAGAAGATTGTATCAATACCATTTGTGGATTCAGAGGAGCAACTTGCGGATGTTCTTACTCATGCAGTGTGTAGTCGAAAGTTTGGTGACTCACTAGGCCTGGCAATTCTTGACACGACCCGATAACCCGACACGACACGACACGAAATTAACAGGTGTTCGGGTTGACACGATAACAATCGGGTCGTTATCGGGTAACCCGATAAGCACCTGTTAAGATAACGGGTTGGTTCGGGTATACACGTGGGTAACACAATACACGATAAGCAAAATATTACTTTTATATTTTTATAACCCTAAAAAAATATTATAATAATTATATATATATATATTAATTTAACAATTTTATACCCCTAAAAACCACAATAATTTTATATATATATATATATATATATATATATATATATTAAATTAAATATTAAAAATTGGTGACCACTAGATCGGCTTAAATATACGTACCATTCAATTTCTTAAGTGTTATACATACAAAATAAATAAATTTAAATCTACTTAATAAATATATATATATATATATATAGAGACACCATTGAACTTGATGGGATACAAATTCTACGAAACTAATTTGAACGATCCAACCGTCAAACTTGTTTGTATATGCATCAAGATCGCATCAGCAAAAAATCGTAAAAAAAAAAACATTCAGAGATCAAGTAACTGGACAAAACATTTCGACGACTATCAACGAAAAATCATGATTTAACGGTTATTTTAACTCCGATCTTGATGATTTTTTACAGCTAAACTCCTTGACCCTATATGAATATAATGAATGAACTCGATCTTCATTTTAAAATATTTACACTAGTGGATACCACAAAATATTATGTTATACTTAATGAAAGTATAAATAAACTCTTAAGTGTTAGTGAATCTATTATTTTGATGGGATACACATTCTATGAAACTAGTTTCAACGATCCAACCGTCAAACTTGTTTGAATATACTTCGAGATCGTATACGCCAAAAATTGAAAAAAATAAACATTTAGATATCAAGTAACGGGACAAAACTTTTCGATGGTTATCAAAGGAAAATCATGATTTAACGGTTATTTTAACTCCGATTTTGATGATTTTTTATAGCTACAGTCCTTGACCCCATATGAATACAATGAATGAACTTGATCTTCAATTTAAAATATTTACAATAGTGGAAACCACAAAAGCTTATGCTATACTTAATGAAAGTATGAATAAACTCTTAAGTGTTAGTGAATCTATTGTTTTGATGGGATATGCATTCTACGAAACTAGTTTCAATGATCCAACCGTCAAACATGTTTGTATATGCTTCGAGATCGCATATGCCAAAAATTGCAGAAAACAAACATTCAGAGATCAAGTAACGGGACAACACTTTTCGACGGTTATCAACAAAAAATCACAATTTAACGGTTATTTTAATTCTGATCTTGATGATTTTTTATAGCTACACTCCTTGACCCTATATGAATACAATGAATGAACTCGATCTTCAATTTAAAATATTTATACTAGTGGATACCATAAAATCTTATGTTATACTTAATGAAAGTATGAATAAACTCTTAAGTGTTAGTGAATCCATTATTTTGATGGGATACGCATTCTACGAAACTAGTTTCAATGATCCAACCGTCAAACTTGTTTGAATATACTTCTAGATTGTATATGCGAAAAATTGCAAAAAAATAAACATTCAGATATCAAGTAATAGGACAAAACTTTTCAACGGTTATCAACGAAAAATCACGATTTAACGGTTATTTTAACTCCGATTTTGATGATTTTTTATATCTACACTCCTTAACCCTATATGAATACAATGAATGAACTTGATCTTCAATTTAAAATATTTACACTAGTGGATACCACAAAATCTTACGTTATACTTAATGAAAGTATGAATAAACTCTTAAGTGTTAGTGAATCTATTATTTTGATGGGATATGCATTCTACGAAACTAGTTTCAACGATCCAACCATCAAACTTGTTTGAATATACTTCGAGATCGTATACGCCAAAAATTGCAAAAAATAAACATTCAAATATCAAGTAACAGGACAAAACGTTTTGATGGTTATCAACAAAAAATCATGATTTAACAGTTATTTTACCTCCGATTTTGATGATTTTTTATAGCTACACTCCTTGACCCTATATGAATATAGTGAATGAACTTGATCTTCAATTTAAAATATTTACACTAGTGGATATCACAAAATCTTATGCTATACTTAATGAAAGTATGAATAAACTTTGAAGTGTTAGTGAATCTATTGTTTTGATGGGATACACATTCTACGAAACTAGTTTCAACGATCCAACCGTCAAACATGTCTGTATATACTTCGAGATCGCATACGCCAAAAATTGAAAAAAATAAACATTTAAAGATCAAGTAATGGGACAAAACGTTTCAACGATTATCAACGAAAAATCACGATTTAATGGTTATTTTAACTTCGATTTGGATGATTTTTTACAGCTACACTCCTTAACCTTATTTGAATACAATGAATGAATTTGATCTTCAATTTAAAATATTTACCCTAGTGGATCTTATGTTATACTTGATGAAATTATAAATAAACTCTAGGTGTTAGTGAATTTATCGTTTTGATGGGATACGCATTATATGAAAATAATTTCAATGATCCAACCGTCAAAGTTGTTTGTATATGCTTCAAGATCGCATACGCCAAAAATCGCAAAAAAAAAAAACATTCAGAGATCAAGTAACGGGACAAAACTTTTCAACGGTTATCAACGAAAAATCATGATTTAACGGTTATTTTAACTCTGATTTTGTTGATTTTTTACAGCTACACTCCTTGACCCCATATGAATACAATGAATGAATTCGATCTTCAATTTAAAATATTTGCACAAGTAGATACCACAAAATCTTATGTCATGATGATCGATGAAAATTGAGGATTTTGTAAAAGGAATTACATTCAAGCTTTGAGTTCCATTGACAAGGTTTAAACTTTTGAGAAAAGCTTCACAACCTTGAATATCCTTTTGCATATCCTTGCACATTTAATATTTTGTATATCCTTGCACATTTTGCATATCTTTGCACATTTAATATTTTGTAATAGACTAGCAGTGTATAGATGTTTGTTTATTAGACTCTTATTTTCAAGTGTAGATATAGTACTTAAATGAAAAATGTGCTTTAATGTTTTGAAGTAATATTTATGTGGCAATGTGTGGTATGTGCAAGTTTAAGAAAAAAAATACATTTTTCTTAACGGGTCATAGCGGGTCATAACAGTTGGGTAAAGTGACCCGACCTGTTAAGGACCCGTTAAGATAACAAGTGTTACACGAAAACGACACGAACACGATAGACACGACCTGTTTGCCAAGCCTATGACTCACTTGTCAAGTTGGGCATGTGTGATATTTTTTGGACCCAAAATTACATCATCGGTCCAAGTAATCGAGACCGTTGAATGAGCAAAATTTTAGACCATTGAATAACAAAGTGGTTGAAATGATTTTCAATTATTATTGAGAAATAATATTATGATTTTAATCATGATATTATCTCTTAGTAATATATTAAATTATTTAAACCTAATATTTGTCTAAATCCCAATTGATTTGAATGATGATGGAATATGGGGATATGCATTAAGGCATGGCGTTAGAAAACAGCATGCAAAGATATCGGGGATACATTTTGCATATGTGGTATTGCTTTGGCCACGTGACACATGCATAACTAGGACTCCTATGCAAAGTGGTATTTGATGGAAGATGGCATCTCAAGTGATTCGCTGATATTGCAATTAAATTGCATGCATGGTTGCACCTGGACAGGTGTCGTGGGAAAGAAGCTTTATAGTATGCATTGGGAGTCTTGACTATGCATGACAGCTTAATGGGATAAAGTAAGGCTACTGATGGAGTTTTGATGATGAGATAAGAAGCCTAGGTGGGCTAAGCTTCTGATGTGATGTGATAAGCCTATATAGGTTTTTATCTTGTTTAAAAAGTCACGAACAGCAATCTGAAGGATATTCTTTGGCCTCTGACACATATCAATTTCAAGTCTGCGAATTAGAGTTGTAATTGGACTCTAGAAAATTATCTGGTTGTGCCAAGTAGAAGATATGAGTGCTATAAATACAGAGTCGCAGACAACATTTGAAAGCCTCCTCAAAATCAACGCACAAATTACCCTGCGCAAAACTTCTTAACAATCCTAAGATTTTTATCCTTCTCCCATTTCTTTCGCTAACACATCTTCAGTTTGGATAAACAGTATTGGAGGCATAAAATCAGCCGATCAAGGAGCACCTTCAGTTTGGATAAACAACACTGCTTTGAGACCGACTGGTTATTTATCCAAGTCTTGGTCGACAAGGATTTTCGAGTCCTTGTTGGTAGAGGTCATCTCATAAGCCTTCTCGACGATGTGAGGTGTTACAGGTTACTACATTCAGCACATTGAAAGCCGAATTTGATATTGAACTTCGTAGAAGCCTTGTCTTCAGGCTCTAGAAGCCGAATTTGATATTAAGAAGTCAATAGCACGCCCAACGCCACATCAATATATTTTACTCCTTGGCCGAACTCGGCCGACGAGTTGGCACGCCCCAGACATAATCGAAAGACGTAGTTAGCTCATTAGTTACTCAGCCTGTGTGCCACGTAGGCTTGGTAGTTTTTAGGGTCAATAGATATCTATGCACCAACTTAAGGAGGAGTGTAAACGTGAGTTGTTAAAATAAGTATGTAAATATATTGTAAATATTAAGAATCCTTTATTAGGAAGGATTAATTGTTGTGTCCTTTATTGATTATTGTTTTCATATAGAATAAGGATTGTATTTGTATATATTTCAAAGAAGTAATACAATGAAAATTATCCCGTAAAATTCCATTGCTTCATTCATGGAAGGGAGAATACAATTTGTGCAAGATAGGCCTAAACCCAACCAAAATATAAAAACATAAAATCCTACATAAGAAAAGCAAGACTTAAAATAAAAACAGGCCCAAGCAAAGAGAGAGCAACAACCCAATACATAATGGGAGGCTCACATACACTTAGGCTTGTAGACAAAGTAAGAAAACACAACATCAAAACCCTAATCTCCATCAGCACAACGGTAGCCACGTCGCTGCCACCACCGCAACAGCCGCCATGAAGGAATACATCGCCCCAAACTGAAGAAAGCACCCTAACCAAAAGCTAGATCTAAGAAGGTTGTGCAGAATCCATCCTGGAAGGTGTAGTTGAGAGAATGAAACATCAAACATCATGTTAAATTGTTAATTGCTTATTGATTGGGCAAAAAACTTGAACTAATTCCCGCCAATCACATAAACAAAACAAAACCACATGGTAATCAGTCATTTATTTATTGCTTTCAATTGAGCGAGGAATCGGCTTGTAATTGTACTTGTTAATGTCCACCTTCTGCTACAAAACCTACAAAATCGAATTGGTAACTGCCAAAATCAATCAAAAAGCTCTCAAAAACACTTTTCAACTGCTTATGGCTTTTGGCTTATTTGAAAGCTTGTACCCTGAGCTCTTCCTCGAGAGACGTCTTCTTTGGTTTGTAGGCGTCAACGGGTCCCGTTCTGGAAAGTGCATTTCGGCTCTCGTTGATCTCCCACTCCATCGTCCTTCACCTTCGCGATGTCCTTGCTTCCTTGAATCCTGTGACCGAGCCCCACCATGCCCCACACTGTGAGATCATCGGAAGGCCGTACCAGATAAATGGGTGTCTTCCTCAAGGGCAGTGTTGAGGGGAAGCGAAACGTGCAATCACACTAGACCCCAAATTTGAAGGGACACCAAATTTAAAGGGCCCCCAATATTTTTTGACATCTGAAATTTATATGTAACAATGGTATATATTAAAAAATTACTTTTATTAGTACTTTAAAATCTCGTTGTACACTTTTTATAAGTGTAAATTTTTTTTCTTTCTAATGTAAAAATTTGGAGTGCACAATGAGATATTTGAAGTGCCAACAATAATACTCTAAAGATGATTTACAATCAGTGAGTCCTGAAGTTTGTTGTGATTTAGGTTGTCTTCTAGCAATTATTTTTGAAAATCATTTTAAGGATGGGTCCTTTTATAAATTTCACACAAGACTCTAAAAATCTCAAAGACGGTCCTGGTCTCTGCCCCTATTGCTTGTACGTCGATGATTTGAGTGCAGTCATGGCAGCTTTTGTTTTGTTGATGCTTGTAATCGCCACGCTCATCGGACCCAAAACCATTGCTAAAATGCCATTTGGCTTTGTTCAACAGTAAACCTTAAAAAAAAGGGTGTGATATCCACACACCCCATTTTACTTCTCACACACCTCTTTAATTTTCGGCCGTCGGATCAGATAAATTGATGAAGATCAACAGACATAAATTATCAAGGAGTGTGTGAGAAGTAAAATAAGATGTATGGATAGCATACCCCTACAAAAAACTACTATATGATTTAGATAACACACGAACTTGGATATGGTAGATTTCGAACACACAACTTTAACCAACCGATCAAACTCACGTCTATGGTCCATTTGCATATTAAAATAACGAAATGAATAATAATAAAACTAAAAAAGTCCAGTCTTTTATTTATTCCGATTTGGTCGGTATAGAACTGGTACACTCTTCTCTTTTTTAGCAATCTCGCTGACTAATCCAGGGCAATGACATGAACCAATGACCCATCCGACATACGCAACAGGTGCTCCTGGGCACAAATCCTCGCCCCCCGACACAGAAACGTAGGAATCTCCGAAGCCAGCCGCAAAATCTCCTCGTCCTGCTGGTCGAACCCTACACACTCCCTCACGTCCAACAGCGCCAGGTTCTTCATCTCCTTGAGCAGCATCACCATCAACTCCCTCGGGATCTGCGACCCCCTCAGAGACAGAAAGCTCAGGTTGGGCACGAATGTCACGATCGCCTCCACCACGCTTGGCCCGATCGCTGCATTTGTCAGCTGCATCCCAGCGAAGTTCTTGCAGCACTTGCCGACGTGCTGGAGGGTTTTGTGGATCGCGAACATGTAGTGGCTGAGGAGGCCAGGGATTTTCAGGAACCGGAGGCTGCCACCGCTGCGGTCGATGACCATTTTCATGAAATTCGTGATCGAGAAGTGTCGCCACAGAATGTCATTTTCGCGCGCGAATGTCCGGATGAAGACGTCGAAACGCTGATTTTCGGTTCGATTCGCCGTGGTCCAGGGGCGGTCCAAGACGGCGTCGTTGAGGCTGAAAGGATCGGTGACGTCGTCATTGGCGTCGGGGAAAATGATGCGCTCCCAGCAGGCGGGGTTTTTGGTGGCGCGGTACCAGGATTTGCACACGAACGGGATGAAAAGGAGGAGCGACTCCAGTCCGACTCGGATGAACACTTGAGCCAAACAGTTCTGTTCCATGTCCTCCCAGCTGCGGTTGAGGTTCCGCCGGTGGTTGCGCTTCCTCGGTCTGTCCATGGCGGAAATTGGGGGTTGTTGGATTTGGGGATTTGGGAAAATGGATTCCCGTGTCTGTCGCTGTCTAGGTTTGTTTTACTCGAGACAGTCAAGATTATGATAAGACGGCTGCTGGGTGCTAAAAACATATAAATACTCGGTCTTGTCGGAAACTTACCCACTAAGTTCGGCTAATTAGGGTTTTAGGTTTTTTTTTAATTATCTCACTGTGTCTGAATTTCCCCAGTCGAGTTACTAATTTTCATAATTGGAAAAGTTCAAGGTTTATGTGTCATGGACATAGAGTATAATATTAATCAGTGGATAAATTAGTTATAATTAATCAGTGGATAAATTACTTCTTTGTGCCGTATCAGAAACTTAAAGTGGGTATTGACGGCATTTTTAATTTATTGGATTCTTTTAAACGCTTGTATCAAGCTTATGTAATTAGGTTTTGATGGCATTTTTAATTTGCTGGATTCCTTTAAACGCTTGTATCAAGTTTCGAATTTTCTTTTTTAAAACAGAAGATAAGTTGTATAAGAAGAATTACCTCTTCAATTGAGTCACGTGGTGAGATTGATTGAAAAAACTCTGAGTGGGTTTCATGAACATATTGTAAAAGTCCATTGAATGGATACACATGCTATAATATGAGTACGTCTGCAGGACATGGCGACTTAAATATGCAACCGCATTTAAATCTCCCTCTCAATTTACATCTGTTTGGACAAGTTTTGTAGTTTTTATTTAATGTGCATGTTCATATGGCTAGAGCGGATATGTAGCTGCATTTGAATCTCCCTTATACTATGTTTAGATGAGGAAATTTAAAACTAATTAATAAGAAATTACGCTTAAGGGAAGAAATGTTCTTGGTGGATGCAGCACATGGGACCCCCAGAATTTGTATGCAAGATGAGCCTACCAAAGTGCCAATCAACCGAGCCGCCAGGTTTGAGAATAAGGTGGGATCCCTGAATGTAGTGGGCGGTGAATCACTGATCAAAAAGCAGATTCTGGAGAGTTTCTTCATCGATGTAGTGGCCGGTGAATCACTAACCAAAGAGCGAGCAACCACCAGGTTCAAAATGATGGAAATAGAATTGACGGAATTCTATATTTTAGAATTTGTGAATTTCCTTGTTTGGCTAACCCAAAAAAAAAAAAAATAAATAAATAAAAATAAAATATTTGGAAATGACACCTATTTACATGAAGCTTAAACTTGGGAACTAGAGGTCCCAAATTCCAAGTTTTTTTTTTCATGTGAAAATTTTAAATTTCTATGTTTATGAATCCAAACAATACAATTGAAGCATGTCAATTTATAAATTCTGATTTTTGTCAAAATTTCATGTTTATTTTCTTTGTCCAAACATATTGTTAGTTAGGAGTGAAATTTATGCCAAATTACTATGCTAGCCGTATCATGCCGATTTTGTGCCAATTGGTAATGGCATGGTATTGTACTAAACCAAAATTTTTTGGCACGATATTGTATTCGATACCATTACTGATCGTATAACCGCACCTTATAATATATATATATATATATATATATATATATATATATATTTATAATATTTAAGAAAAAGCCCTTCATTGCCTCTCATTCCTTCCACACTTTCTCTCTTCAACACACTCTATCTCTCATTCTCTACGAGGATTGGTGTTGGTCTTCTTGCCTTTGCTTGTTGCCTGTGGTTTCTCACTGCAGGGATTCTATTTGGGTTTTGTAATTTAGGCGACCATATATGAGACAAAGCCATAAAAATAGAAAGAAAAAAAAAGTTTGCGCCCTGAATTCGATAGAAAAAAAAAAATCAAAATTGGGCCTAAAACAAAGTGGCAATTACCATTATTTTGCCAACCGAACTAGTTGTCATATTGAAATTCGATATACTGAAAGTTTGGTATGGTAATGATAATAGATTTTGCCATATCAAAAGTTTGGTATGGTAATTGGTACGGGAATTTAGGTACGGTAACCATACCGAAACCACCCCTAATGTTGGTTTATATTTCACCTAGACAACTTTGGTAGGTTTCATTAACGGGTACAACCACATTAGTTAGAATTGAAATGCTACCGTGTTTGAATTTTTCTCTCTTCAACATATACTCGTTAGAGTGAAATAATGTATGAACAAGAAATCTGATTACGAAATTAAAATATTAGGCATAATTGGAAGAAAATAAAATCCCAACATGACCAAGGTGGTCATTTTCAATTTTATTTATCAAGACGAATAAACAAATAAGTAATTGTTCAATTAATAAAACAATGGTTTTGGGGGCTGAAATTAAGAAAAGAAAAAAAAAAATTGGCGTATTGAAAGAACATACATTGGCAGATGAACATTATATAATTGAGAATGAGAAAATTATATGTAATACAAAAAGTATAATTACAGAGGCATATCCTAGAGCAAACACTACACTAATCATTAAATAAATAGAACAAAAAGGGGTAGGAAAAAATGAATAAGAAATTATCCCAAATAAATAAAAACAAAGTTGAATTAAAATTCGAGTTTTTTAAATATCAATCTCTTAATTTATTATTTTCATAATTTTGTTTTCCATTCACAAGTGGACCTATAGATGTTGGTTGTTCTTTGGAATTACTGCAGGGTTTGGGTGCTTTTTTTGCATCAGATTTTAACTTGAGACTCAAACCAAACCTCTTCAAGAATGTGTTCCAACTCCCCTTTGTCTTCACCAGCTTCTCAATCTCTTGCTTCATGCTCAAGCACTCTTTCTCAAGCTCCAAAACTCGTTCCCTCATGTCATCAACTGTTACAACATGATCGCGCACAGTGCCAGCTTGAGCAGGTGCCTCATTTCGAGCAAGCGCAAGATTTCTACTTTGGTTTTGTGAGTTCTCGACGTTCTCAGATACAAAGAACCAACCGAAATTGATGTGCGCAGGCGAAGCTGTTCGAAGAATAGAACTTGGACAATGACGCGAAGCGGTAGCCTCTCATTCTGCGCTGCGTGCGTGCTGGCTTCCAATGAGAGCTTCTGGCAGTTCACGAGCCGGCAGATTTGTTCCCTCTCGGAGTCTGTCAGACAAGGATGGGCCTGAACTTGAGAAAAATGTAAGCAATGGAATGCTAAGTCAGAAAAAGTTATCAAACAGATTAAATATGTTGAAGAAGTAATTAAATATGAACATTTCAATGGATGCAATATCCAAAAGTGAACATGTTTTCAAGTCCCTGTAGTACGCAATGTTTCCACTTTCGTTCCTGTATTTTTCAATTGCAAAACTACAAGAACCAAACATGCGCAGC